CTGGATTCGAACCGACGACCTTCGAGTTATCATACCAAATTTGAGCCAAGCGCCTTACCTATTCGACCAGCAAGGCACTTAACTGCTCTCTAATATGGACAACACTCTCTGAAATGAATGAGAGAAACTGTCCCTGTTGAGAATTGAACCCTTCGCATTTCAAAAGACGGTTACCGATTTCCAGTACGATGCTTAACCAATCGGCAACAGTGGATTTATTCTTGTCTTAGCAGATACGCCTTCACATGGCTTGATACCCCTGATTCCACTCTTTGTGATTGTTGAATATGTGAAAGTTTAAAGATTTTATTAGTTCAAGACCAGTTTTAATACTGATGGTCCTCAAATTGAGTAGGTGTTTTGGTCCAGAAAAATCTTATTCAAATCTAATATACTCAAATCGAGGACCCCCAGTAGTAGGTTTAATTTTTGAATCTGAACAAACCGGAATAGCACAAGACGGTAAATCGAATAGGAATCCGGTGCCAAGCTGGTATGGTGTTGGATTCGATTTAAATCCAGTGCCATGCCAAAGTCACACCGACTTATTTTCGCATGATTTCTGATCGATTAACCGACTTGTGCCATTCGAGAAATAACCTAAGAAACTCAAACTTCTTTTAAGGAACAGAACAGACCACAAATAATGAAAATTATCAATACGAATCAATATCAAATCAGCCAGTGATACTGTAAGTCGTGTGTATCAAAATAATAGTAAACGAAAAAACAATCCGTGATGGAATTTCCATTCTCTTTTGATAATCTCATGATAATATGCAACATGATATGACAAAACAGAAAGAAAAAGGAAAAGCGTAATAAGAAGGACATGAAAATTACCTTCATTTCGTATAAAAATGCTGATGAAAATTTTTTATGTAACAGAAAATAAAAAAATCTGGTGCCTGCTCTTAACAGCAGTACCGAAAAGAAATGTTAACAGTATAAAAAATGTTCATTTTGTGCTTCTGTGCGGAAGTCAATGTTTATTTATTTTCCTGAACATAAAGTCGATTGGCTTAAGAAACATCACACGGAAGTGAGACGAGGAACGCAAGGTGGCCCCTCTGCACATAAAAGATGTGAATGTAAAAAAAATTTACAAATCTCTGAAATTGGGGATTATGCAGAAGTTTTGGGTACTAAAAATTTAATTTATTTTACTTATTAATCTTTTCTGTTTTACGACACATTTGTTCGTCCACCGCATCCGGTGTGAAACGACTTATTTTAAGCCTGAGTAATTTTTCATAATTCTCAATGTTTAATGTCCATAAATTCACTTCCAAGAAAGACTTTAATGCGTTACGCTACTTCCTAATTTATCAATCAAAATGAGCATAAAAGTGATGTAAAAAAAGAACTTTAAATTCAGATTTTTATCGTACAACAGGCACGGCAATAGCAAATTTTAATGGTTCAAGTCGAAACTGAAAATGGATTTTTTACATTTATTTTTATAAGCATCTTAAATCACATTCGAATATCCGCTCAAATTGATGGATTAAATGCTCGGCATTAGTTTTTGATGGCATTCTGTTGTACCTCTAATGCGAGAGAAATTTTTGTTTTATTCAACTTTTGTGATGAGATAAATAAAACTTAATGGATGATTGGAAAAAAAGTCATTTTTGATGTTTGGTGACAAAATTTGATTGATTTTTTTTGTCTTACATTTAGAGATGGCCTAATGAAAAAATAACTTTGAGGTTCCTCACTCTTTGTTGAAGCAGTTCATGAGCCGGTTGCTTACTCACCAGAAGGATTTAAATTAGAAAATTATTTGCTGCTGCCGGGGCATTTAAGAAGTTATTCAATAGGGGACAGAAAATGTTTGAGATAAGGGGGGGGGGGGGGGGGGGGGGGGAGTTATTAGAATTTATTTCTAAAAACCTAGTAAACTGATATTTGGAATCAATTCCATCCTGTTGAGAGTGCTGTTATTATAAGAACAAGGTCTCTTTGGCCTTGTGGTAAGGCGTTAGACTGGTAAATGTAAAGATACACAACATCACAAATGAATGACTCCTTGGCAGGCGTCTTTATTTTGCTAGGGTCTTTATGAAAAAATCATAAAAATACCCCCGCCCCCCCCCCCCCCTTTAAATTTTTACATACAAAAAATTTTTTTGTCCCTTCTCTTCAAATTCCTGGCTACGCCCCTGCTCCTTGGTTAAGAATGTCAAAAATTCAGATCAAAAACATCACAAGCACCATTTACTGCACAATAAAGCAAAGTTCTCCTTCTGCGTGATCCAATCAAGATTCAAATTGCATCAAATAAAAGTTTGTAAAGCACAATTAAACTTTATTGAATCCAAATACTCAAAAACATTTCGTTTCCAATTCTTCTGAGAAATTAAATTTTCCTCAATAAAATTCAAATGACACAAAGGAATCAACTTGATGTAAATTTTCTAAATTCAATTTTCCAATTTTTATTAAAATTAAACATCGTTTTCATGCATCTACACCTTCTAAGTGCTTTGTTTTAAAAGTTTTTTAAATTTCATGTCGATTAGATGTAAAGAAGGATTTGAAATAGATTACTACAAGAGGATGCGAAGTGATTGTTGTGATGAATTTGCAGCACAATTTTATTATTTAAATGTATTTCATTTTAGCGATGATTTTTAATACAAAATCTAACGCTTGTGATGTTTTGTTACTTATTCTCCCACATTTGCATGGGAAACATTCAGCTAAAGGAAAAAAAGGATGTAAATCGGTAACCTATTCATTTCACATAAACATTTTTTATTCCAATTCAAAGAACGATCAAAACCGTATGAGTACAATGCATACAACACGATGATAGGGTTGAGAAGGAAAAAAAAATCGGTCTGTTGACCTTTTTTTCTGCCTTTTTGTGAATATCGATATGGATCCTGAAAAAATTGATGTTAAATATTGGTATTCAAGATTGTATGAAAGTAGCATATTTACCCAATTTCCACATTATTTAAATGTATATTCTCATATGTTATTGAAGGATGCCAATTTTTTTACACTTGTGCTTTTTGAGTTTTCAATTGTTTTTACAACAAAATGGAATTTTTAAAGTATGATATAGTCAAACTAAAGAGGAGCCCTACTCAAAAGTTGCTAGTCTAACACCAAAAAAACTCAAAAAAAACTTTGATCAAAACTTAAAAAAGTTAAAGAAAAACATTTTAAATTGCCTAAAAAACTTCCATCATCGTTTCAAGTCGAAAAGGTTTTGTTAGGAATTGTTTAGAATGAATAATGTCGATAAACAAAAAAAGAGAGTACGAAGTGTTAAATATTTATTACAAACAGATCTGTAGAACGCAAACCATCCTTAATGCGCAAAAGAGGAGCAAAAGCAGTAGCTTAAAAGAAGTAAAAAAAAGTTGTCCCAGTAGAAAAATTTTCTATTGTTCATGCGAGCATATTTTATGAATTATATATTATATCCATGGCATGCATGAATTTTTAATATAGGCATGGTAGAAGCAACATATGGGATAATTTGTTTTTGTTGATAATTTGCTTATTTTTATTTTGGATAAACAAAAGTGAAGTACATCCGGTTATGTGGATTTTGGAAGAATCTTTTTAATAGCTTCCTTAATGATTTTATGGGATTTTGAATTAGGATTTTTAAAGAAATAAATAATGAACAAAAGCTTCAATTATTTACACTTTGTGATGTCTGTTTTAATTAAAAGGGAATTAAATCTTTCTAAGAAGGAACTTTTATTTCTTGAACAGAATTAGTAAAAGATTGATTCTTAAGTTTATTTATAAATACAAATATTAGCTTATCTAGCTTACTTTAGTCTATTGAATCGTCATTAAGAAGTTAAATTTCGAGTGAAAAATGAAATATTTATTCATTAATTTCATTAATTTGATGATGATCCCGAATAGCACTAGTCGGTTAATCAAATATATATCCAATGCCAAGCTGGCATGGTGCTGGTTTAGAATTAAATCCAGTACTATGTCAGAGTCACACCCGTTTGATTCCAGATTTCTGATCGATCAATTGACTTATGCCATTCGGGGATGTTTAGCTGTGGTGTAGATTAGAGCTATATCAACCAAAACCTAGCTTTTTGTTGGAGCATCATCTGAAGTATCGAAACATATGTAGTCGATTCTGCCAGTACAAAAGAAAGGTCTCTATGACCGACTAGCTAGGCAACAGATCAGATGTAAACAATTCAGCATTTTTGAAACTTGTTTCTGTATATTATTACACTTTGTTTGGCTGTTCGGCTACTCGGGCGAAGAAAAACTTTTTAACCAGACATCGTAGAGAGCTCGGGTTTGTTTTATTATGTCAGTTACTATCGATTTATTGGCCCATCAAGTGGTTAAAAATCTTTAAACCATGTATTTATACTATAATTAATGATTTTTATTTTGTTTTCAGTGTAACCTGCCCAAATTTTATTTCACCTCTACAATTTCAACATTACCTCCATAGTTTCAAATTTTTTCTAGCCGTTGTAAAATTTGACTTTTACGTATTCAAGATCTTCTGTCACACTGACTTGATACTAGACTTACATTATACAATTTTAGCAAAACTAGAGAACAACTCTGATGTTATGTTAACATGTCATCGTTCTATTATTAAGCCCCCCCTCATAATTCATCATTTCGAATTTCCTTTAACAATTCTTGTCACAACATCAAAACATATTTAAAATAATTTGTTAAATTTCCACAAAATTATGTTCAAACAAACATAAAATTACCATATCCAAATACATCATCTATGATATCGTCTAGATCGCAAATTTGTTCTGAATTCCCCTTCAATTCTACACCTTACAAGTCAGGAAAATTTAAACAATGTTGAGGGAAGGCATAATTTTCCATCCTTATCGCAAATATTTTATTTGCATTATTGCCAAAACCTTCCATATGAAAAAAAGCAAAAGAATAAAGTGCAAAAAAGCGGAAAATAACAATAAAAGGCGCGAGAATTCCCTTCCTGACATTCCATTTGATTCCTTTTATAGGCAACAATGTTTGCATACACATATGAGCGAGAGAGCGATGATGATGATGAAGGTGATGAATCCTTTTACATATTTTCACACTTTGATAACTTCCTTGACTCACTTCCGCCTTTTTTTTCATATGCACAGCGAGCAAAAAGAAGAAAGATTGAAAAATATTTTTCGTGTGAGTTCCAGCCACCCTCGAAGAAGAGTTTCAAGACATAAAAGCAAAGAAAGAGGAGAGGAAATTTATCTTCAGAACTCATCATCACCATGAGCGTAGAAAAAAGTGTATGGAATGGAAGGAGGCATGTATAGATGTTGAGGGTTGCAAAGCATTTGCTCTCAGTGTTTTGTTTTAGGCTGGAATGTTATATATGGATACCAACGTACGGATAACATGTCAATTCTTTTGTAGGATGTGAAATCTGAATTTCATTACATTTAAGCTTTTGCAGAGTGTTGGATCTTCCTCTATAAATACCGTATGTCTTTTATTGATGTAAAATAAATCAGATATGATAGGAATCGAACCCGTGACCTCCTTTTTTTTAAATAATCTTCCACCACTAAGGTTCTTACCTTAGTTCAGCTATCCGTCATACACATCAAACAGTTTCATCGTCTGCAAGCTCAACGATCATGAGCATGTTGTTTCTTCTGCCCCACTTCGAGTAGGTCTTAGTCGAAGAAGCTATTGCCATAGTCAAATACTTAGTTTTGCATTATTTTGGTCAAAATGCGATTAAAAACTCCCAAAAACATGTTCAAACACGCTACCACTGACAAAATATGCAGTAAGTAACATAGCTGTACAGCTCCTAATGTTCTAGATGATGGAGGCAAAAAAGGGATAAAAAATCGTAGCGAATGTAACGTCTCAGTCATTGTCGTCGACATGGTGTATGTGTAACATACATATATTATAGAGATTTATCTCGTTATATCGAGATCATCAATTATTTCATCACTCGATGTGTTTATTAAGTAGCATACTTTACACCTTTTCCGCTTAAAGAATGTTTGATCATGTTTTGTTTATTTTTGTAGATATTATCGACTCACTTACTTGCTTACTCACTTATGTACATATCAAAGCACTCTTTTACGATTGTTTCTGATTGCGTGAGTTCCGTTTGAGTTGCCTCTCGAAACTTTCCCCCCTTCTTTCACTTCCACACACAATTGCATGATTTGTTACAAAAACGTGTAGTCAGTAAAATATTGAATAAGGAGTATGAAAGCGAAAAAGTTTGTATAACATATTGACTTCTGATCTCATGATAATAACATGAAGGATGAAAAAGAAGGAGCAAATTTATTGTAAAAAGGCACATTGTAGCTTAGACAAACACATGAAAAGAAGGTGAGGATGATACAATCGACGAAGAAGAACTCTTGAAGGATATAAAATGAACATGATAAGGGATGGAAAATAATATTATGTACAAGTCTTACAAGTAGATTATGTTGTAAAACACAAATTTCATTTCAACATTAAAAATGTTCATGTATTGTTTGACTTGTTAGTTTATAAAGAAAATAGATGTCTAATGGATTTCATGTCCTTAAGAAATGAGATTATATTGATGCTGTGGAAAAAGATTATCTAGTAATCCTGATGAAAAATAGCTGATATGGTAAGGGGTCATTCACTTAAGACGTCCGAAATTAACGGTCATTTTACAAAAAAACACTAAATTTCCAGGAATTTCTATTATTCTTTTCTTGCTGAATCCCTCCCCCCTGGATTTCATAAGTGAACGCCCCTTGAGTAGTCGTTTGTACAATTGTGATGGCTGTAGGAGGTCTAAAAAGAGTGGGGGGTTTATTATTATAGTTTTTTAATTGATACCATTTGAGGTACGAGGCTTTGTTGAATCAGAGACATAGTGATTGAGGGATTAAAGCGGGGGGTGGGGGGTGGAAAAATAAAAATATTATCAATAATCATTTAGGGGTCGTTCACTTATGACGTCCTCCCTTCCTGGACGTCATAAGTGAATGGCCCCTTTGGCTGCTCATTCAAGATACTTCATAATAAAAGAAAGCATAAGGGAGGGAGATCTTGAGCTATGTCACCCTCAACTTTGGAATATTTTTGAAAATTAATATTCTAAGTAGCAATAAAACATTTACCTAATAGGCACAAGAAATCAATCATTTAAATTAATTCATAGAATAATTGCCAACACACATACTTGACTAATGAATAATTTCTTTATTATTTTATCATTTCCCACTTCAATCTACGACAAAAGAAAAATATTCCAAATAATTAGAATCATCATAAATATAGGCTTTGACAGTATCTCTTCAATCTATATTTCATATTCATATTCACGACGAGTAAAGCACAACTTTCATGTGCCATGAAGCTATTTAAATAATCGCACATCATTATTCATTCTTCTTTTTTGTACATATGGCATAAAAAGCATTAAATAAATGGGATTTCGGCATATAATTTCTTTCTCATGTTAATGATGTGTATGTATATGAGATATGCGAAAGAATACACATATGCGAAAGTTAAGGGCGTCCCCTTTTTACTGGTGCTGCTTTATAAACTTTTTTTGCGGAGTTTTTTTTTGCCGTCTTTTGTGGTGAAATTTGTCAGGTTTAAGGAAAGATTGTTGGAAGTTTTTTTATTGTGGTTTGGATTTTTTGGGGGTTAAGTAGGCTCACATGTAAATAATTTTGTGACTGGAAAATGTTTTAAGTTTGTTATCTGCACGCTGCATCAGGGGCTTAGTCAGACAAGTTTTGAGGAAGAAGGGGATACATGGTTATTAAAATGAATGGCAAATTTTAAGGAGGTGCTGGGATATTTTATCAAATCTTTTCAGTAAGGGCCATTGACTCCAAAATCAATACTGACTAAATACCAATTTGAGGGCGTTCACTTATGACGTCCAAAATTAACGGTTATTTTTCAAATTAGATTATTTTATATTGTTCATTTCTTGCTGCCTCCCCCTCCTCCCACCCTTGAACGTCAAAAGTGAACGGACCCTTATCGCCTTTACTGCATAAAATATTTCAAAATATGCTAAATTATCCCCCAAAATTATTTCAAGGATCGCTTATGATTTACATTGTTTTTATGAGTGAATTATGAGATGAAATTTTTTCTTATTACCTCTCTTGATTATCAACCATTAGTGATGATATGAAAGAGATGGTTGAAAATAATTTATTTTTTCTTTGATCTATGGCAGCACATGCTTCAGCAGAATTGACTCTGCTTTGATGGTGAGTCACGTTGGATTATTAAAGGTTTTTTTTTGCAGATTTATGACGAAAATTGAAATTGAAATTTTTGTATGCAAATTTTGATTAAAATTAAATTCAATTTTGAAAGATGAAAATTTTTCAGAAATTCAAATCAGCAGCACAATGAATTCTTAATATTTGTTTAAAATAAGAATTTATTCATTCTGCCTACAAATTATATTTAAGAATGAAACCAGCCTTCAATGAAAATTTTAAAGAAGCAAAAATAAATTCATTGACGTCATATGTAACTTATTAATCAGAATCTCTAATGAACCATTAATTAAATTAAGTAATTATGAAAGCAGAGCTATGATTGATTAGAAGCTTTATTTCATACATGTGATACACGGTTTCCAAATTTCAAGGATAATAGATAGAGTTCAAGTTTGTGAGATCATTTAAACGAATTTTCTACAGTCAGAAGTAGAGTAACTGTATATGCATGCGAAAAATCGTATCTAAGGATCTAAAATCGTAAGTTTTTATCAAAAATATCACCGAAAGTTTAGATAAATTTATATTGACTTGATAGTGTAGCATTGTCAGTTCGATAAATTCCAGCTTTGTTTAATAGCAATGCAATGAATCCTCATAGATTCATGATAGGTAAATACTACTACACAGTTAGAGATTGTTGGAAGCTTGTTCAGTGGCGTAATAAAAAAGGGGAGCAACCAAATCTAATGCCTCGGGTGTTGGTGCAAAATGACGAAAATTCTAAAACAAAGTAGTGTGAAAAATATTTTAAGGAGATATTAAATAATCAAGGCGTTAAAACTCAGGATTAATCCTGAAAAATCCCAAAAATCCTAAAGAATCCCCGAGCCAATAAACATGAAAATGTGAAATCCCTTTTAAATCCCGAAGTTATTCATCAAATGCATCAGGAATGTTTTAGGATTTTTCAGGATTAATTTTAAGTTTACACGCTTTGTAAATAATAAAGAGGGACACTTAAAATGTCTCTGAGCTTAGTGCAAGATTAAGCTGTAAAATCGCATCAGTGGTCTAAGTCGTAGAGCGTTGGCCTTCTGAGCCAAAGGTCCTAGGTTCAATCCCAGGCCATGTCTAGCTCTAGAAGCTCTTTTTCCATTTTCAACGTTCTAATTATGAAGCTCGATTTTATGTGTCGGGTGTAGTTTTGAGATCTTTGGCATATAACGTGTCTCATTTGCAAGGTATACTAGGATATACCAGCATCTAGATGATTTCATTACAGCATTGTTCGCACCTGAATTGTGACTTGGGACATTGCAGGGTACATAAGGTCTTTAGAACGAACTCGTGTCTTTGCAATGTGCAAAGTAGTTCTAAAGAATGCGGTTCAATAGATTATGTTCTAATTTGAATTGCAGTGCCTCTAGCTCAAAAAGCTATTCAAGAAGGGTTAAGAACCCCTTTGTACCCCATTTTTATTTTTCATAATTCTTGCAGCTTTGAAGTCTTCTCTTCAAAATAACTCTATCTTTCGCTATTAAAGTTCCTCGATGAATCCTTTTAACTCACGACTATCTTTATAGCAATTCATTTAAAATACATGTCAGATATACGATATTCATCTAATTTTCACTGATAAAAATAATATAAAATACACATTGAAGAGATATGCATACATAGTAAAGAAGGAACATGGATGAGGAAGCAGAAAAAGGCAGATAAAATAAATTGCTGCATTTACAGCGAAAAATAAAAACTTTCACACATTGCAAGAGTGAGCGAGAGAAAACATCTTCATTAGTGCTCATCTGCATTCACGAAAGTAAATCTTTGTTGTTTGAATTTTGCCTTGGCATTATGCAATAGCGTGGCAAGCAAGCAAGCAGGCAGAACACGAATGAAGGAAAATGGAGAAAAAAATTTTTTTTTACCCTCCTCTATGTGCTTAAAATTTACAGCTAGAAAAGTAAAAGAATCTCTCTTTTTTTATTATTATTCCAGTAACATTC